TCCAAATTTCCCCACACACGTGAAACAACGTGGGCCGTAAATCCCACAACCAAGACTCTTAAAAATGATGAGGATGTTTGTTGAGAATAATTAGACCAAAAACAGAAAATGCCTCGCTGCCAAAATATATCCCACTCTATGTTATGGAGATTTAGCCAGAGAATTGGATTTTGCCAGCTGTGAAATCAGTTTTTGTAGTCCCGCTGGCCAACCAAATCATTATGCTATACCCCGCTGTAAGCTCCCATCAGTGCACACACATGAAGTCTATGCTTTTTCCACTGTGAGTGGAGCGCCATACGCCGTTCTCCCCTCTGGACGGCTGTGAGAAGACTGCGAGCTCCGTGTGACACTTCATTGCTTCTGCATTAGTCCAAATGTGTAAAAAGCCTCACATGACAAGTGCTTCACTCTGAACCACTGTGGCGACCAAGATACGTTGTATGTTTGCGGAAAGCCAAACTACTAGTGCATCTACAAATGTCAAAAAACCCTCTTTCATTCATCTTGGAGTGGAATCAAAGTCGCTTCAGTGCAAGGGTCTCACTTTGAGTTTGAGGACGTAGTCATATGCAAAGTGAATCCGTTGAATGGAGTGTGTCCTTCTGCCTTTTCATTGGGACTTTTACGCTACGCGAGGCTCTTTAATGTGGAGAGGATAAAATGTGAAGTACATGATTTTTTTTCTTTTACTGAGTTGCTGGCAGAGTTTGGGCTTCTGGATGCCGACACATCAAGAGATGTTACTTGGGCTTACCTTGGGGCTGAGAGACTTGCCATTTGAAGACACTTTATTATACTGCAGTTAAGGTTGTCAAAGGTATTTTTACACAGCTCTGTGCAAAACCTTTGAGCCACTCCTCATTTCTTTATATTCTGCTGGAAAAATGGGAAATGCAGTGATTTATTGTAACATGTAAATGGAAATACAGTATATAGGGCAAAAACATTATGTACAACTCCACTGTGCTTGAAAGTCAATATTTGGTACACCTGTATTTAATCTTGAACACAGCCTGAATGTTCTTAAACAAGCTGCATTGTTAATGCCTTCAGGAATAGGAACTACTGCACTGACAGTGTGTTTGGGCTGCTGAAAAATGAAGCATATGGTGTTGTTTCATCAAAATCTGATGATACTGAAATCA